GGTAACCCCCCATCGAAACTTAGCAAGCCCTACCTCTAACCAAATAGAAAGCAAAATACCCCTTCATTTAAATGTATTTAATATTTATTTCTATCATATTGAACTTCTTTATTTATACACATAGATATAATGCATAATCAATATAAAAATATATTAACGTCTATCCATATATTTTTCATATTGAATATTAATCTACTTGTATATATTTGTTACTAGTATTTATTTCTTTTTTATGTCTATATATACATATCTCCCTATATTTATATCTTTATTATAGATTTCTATATTTTCATTTCTATATTATTTATTTAAAAGCCCTGCCTGTAACCAAATAAAAAAAAAAATCCCCTTCACCTTAAATGGTTATTTAATTATTTTTAATGCTTATTTTTATCAAATTTATATTCATATTTATATACTATATTGAACTAGCCCAGGGGCACCGGGACTGGCCCAAAGGGACCCCGGTGGTGCCCGATCCCCACGCCCGGAGCTGTGCTGGTGCTGACAGAGCTCCAAGCCGCGGCTCCCGCCTGCCGGCCCAGCAGAGCTCACCTCGCCTCAGCGCGGCTCTGTCGCTCCCTGGCAAGAGAAAATCAAAAAGGAAAAGGAGAAAAGTCCCCCCTGTGAACCCGCACTGGCTTACTTGCTCCGCTGCTGCTTCCAGACACAAAGGTTTGTCCCTCAGCACCTCCTTTAAGCAATGCTCCATGTCCAAGTGCATCCAGCTGTTCTCCCAGACCCTACAAGATGCTCCCGATATCGTTCCATGAGATACCCCCAGGGAGCCCACCATAAACCCCTCTTCTCCAACTGCTCCGTGCCCAAGCGAAGTGAGATAAACCCTCCCCCTAAAACAGCACCGGGCAGGACCCACCCATTCTTTACCTTAACTGCTCACACCTGGAGCTGCTCTGTCCCCTCATCAACCTCACTGCTCACACCTGGAACTGCTCTGAGCGCTCATCAACCTCACAGTTCAGTTTGTGCTGTTGCCATCCTACGGGTGAGGGCAGGGGCAGAAGGAGCTTGTTGCTCATTCCCTGGACAGCTCATTGTCTGCACCTGACACACTGGGGCACCAGGCTTTCCTCGCTATGGATGAGGACACCTCTTCTCCTCCAGGTGCCCAAGGCTGAAAATAGAATTCCACCTCCACAATTCCATGTGTTTGAGTTTCATAATTCCCAGTGTAATTCCCCATGGATCATAAGCCATCACCTCTAATTTTTCCTCTAGAATCACTGCTGACTTGCCTTTCTGTGGAAGTGCTTGACACATCGATGCAGAGTTCAGGGGCTTGTTTATGGCTTATCCTGACAAGCACAAAAGGGTCTTTGTTTTGGTTCCAGCTCTGAGGTTTCACCTCCAGGCCGAGAAATGCCACTCCAACCCCATCCCAACCCCAAAGCAATCTTTACTGTATTTGCAGCCCATCCCATTGTGTACCATTCTATGGTTGCTTCCCACATCTACAGTCACTATCCCCTCAGAACAGCCCCAGCCCCAGTGATTTCAGCTTCAGTCCCACAAGCTTTATTTGACTGCCAGCTCTTGTGCTGCGCTTCTGCCTCCACATCTTCCCAGCAGTGCCACATCATGCTGCTTTCTGGCTCTCCAGGCAGGATCTCTGTTTTAGCTCTAGCTCTAGCTCTCTTTGTTTTGAGCTTAGCTCTTGAGCCCACATTCCAGCACCAACCTGACCATCCTTACTGCAGGAACAGGTCTGCAAGGTCCTATCCCAGCCCTCACGGTGATTTCAGCTCCAGCCACGCAGTTCGCATCCCGGCTCCATATTTGCTATCCCAGCCCCACAACAGTTTCACCCTAAACCCTACCATATTTCTGTCTGCTCCAGTTCTGCTTCCTCAGTTCCAGCTCCTCAGCTTCCCACTGCCGGTGGCTAAAAGCTGCTCCTGCTTCTCACTGCAGCCCGGGGCTGTTGATAAGGCCACAAATCAGTTATCATCATCACATCAATGTCTCTAGGAGTTTTCCTACCCACCCTAATGGTAGCCCAACTTTGGGGACACTTGAGGCCTCAAGCCCAACAGGTAACTTCCCCCTCCCCCTGGGGTCTCAGCCCAGCACTTGCCCAAAGGCCCCCCCTCACCCCCCCCAGGCAGAACCAGGGGCTGGGAATAGCCATTGGGCCCCTGCTTCCCCATCCCAAAAGGTGCCCTTGGGCTGGTTCTCAGGCCCTGGAGCCCTCCCAGCCCCCAGACCCTCAGACTCTCCTTGGTACCAGCGGGCAGGGGCTGCTAAGCCCCCAGGCACCTCCTGCAGGCCCTGAGCTGCAGCTCCATCCCCTTCCCCCATGGCATTTACCCAGCTCCAACCTCAGTATTTCCATTGCCCCACATTGGTCTAGGCCTGACTCCAATGCCAAGGTCTTTATTCCACATCCTGGGGCTTTATGTCTCCACTGGCCCCACAACGGGTGTTTCAGCCCCAGCCCCACAATCGTTACTGAATTTACATCAGCTATCCAGCAAAAAAGCCCCTAAAGTAATTAATAAATAATATTTAGTAATTATTTATTAATAATATTTAATAAATAGATTAATAAATATAAACATAAATATATTATTAAAAGTAATTGTAATTATTAATAATAATTTTATTACTTCAATAAAACGAGCAAAACAAAATAATGTAATAAAGAAAATCGTTATTATTTTAAATAAAAGCAAAATACAATAATAAAATCGCAAAAAACCCAGCTTTGTTCCCGATATTTTAAACATTATCCTCAATCCAGAAACTACGAAACAGCTCCTCTCTGTGTCGCAGTAGCAGCAGCTCGTCCCCCTGTGCCACTCCAGACCCCGCACCCGCCTCCGGCCACCCGAACAGCCCAGGGCGTGGCCGAAAGAACTGGCCACGACCGGCCCCGCCGCCCCAGGACACCGCCGGCCCCCAGATGCTGGCCCCGGCAAACGCGGGCGTCGCGCCCGAGCCCACCGGCGATCCCCGGATCGGCAGCCGCGGGGGTTCCGTCCTGGCGCTCCCCGGATCGCGCCCCGCCGCCGCTCGCAGCCTCACCGCCGAACTAACGCCCGCACCCCTCCAGCGCACGTTGTTTGTGCCCCAGGGCCGGCCAGCACAGCCGATCACAGCCCGAGGCAGCGCCGGGCCCGCCGATCCCAGCCCGCCGTTCCCGCCGCGCTCGCCTCCGCGACTCCCCGCTGTCTCTCAGGCCCCGCTCCAGCGATCCCGCCCGCTCCCCGCCTTCTCCCCGTTTCTCTGGGAGAACGCACGGCTGGGACCTGAACGGGGAGCCCCCGCCCACCCTTCCCGGGACCCAACAGCACCTGCCGGGGCTGCGGCAGCACGGCTCCGCCGGCTCCCAAAGCGACAGCGGCCGGAGCGGCGCCTCAGCAGAACGGGGGAGCGGGGCCGGGCCGCGACTGAGCGGGCTGAGCTTGGCGGGACCGCGCCCGGATTCAAAGGACGGCTGTGATTGGCCAGAGCGGAGCAAATCTCTGAGCCTACCCCCACTGTGATTTCAGCTCCCCGCCCCACTACAGTGCTCCGTTCGTAATTTAAATGTTTCGGGCTGTTACAGACCCTTGCATCTGTATACACGGTTTGTCATCATTTGAGTGGGAAAATTTTGGGGAGACAGGGACAGGCTGGAGCGAAACTCACAGCACTGTAATAGGTATGAAGTCAGACTCACGTTTTGATTTTCATGTGGTTTAATAAGGTAACAGATTCAGCCATTATACAGCAATAGAATTATTCTTTGAGATTTATAAAGGTGCAAGATCTTCATTTAGTCATATGTAGCTTTATTTTCATTATTAGCTACACAGTTCCAATTCTTTCCCACCTGAACAATAGGTCAGGGGTCAAAATAATCCATCCAGACAGAAAGCATCAAAGTACAAAAGAGCACACACAAGGAAGGGTGCTAATTCAAATTCCATGTTGGTATTTGGTCCAGTACCTTACAAAGCAAGGAAAGGTGACGTGGAGCAGTCGTGCCTATAGAAGGAGCTGCGATATTCCAAGCACACCTTTGCCGGAAGTTTGACCACCACTGGGACTGTTTACTCCACCCTGAGACTCACTGTGACCCTGCAGTAGGGGAGGTGGGATGGAGAGAACAATACAAAAAGACCACAAACGACAACCCTCCAAACACTCAAGCTTCTCCACAGCTACCCAGAAATTACTTCTCTGTAGTTTTAGCAAACAATGACCCAAGAGAAGCTATTGCTTCACTAAAGCCAAAAACCTTAACAAAAACATTTGCCATACACTCAGGTCTAGTCTAAAAGTAGCACATGCCTGTGGTTTGAAGAAGTTCTCATTACATTCCCCTCCACTGAACTTGCTCTCCACCCAAGCAGTCTCCCCTCGCTCTTCCCCATTTCAGTCAAGCTGCCTAAAACCCCACCCTCAACTGCATAAGCAGCACGAGGGTGCTTGCAGGGGCAGGAGTTGGACTTGCTTGCTCTGGTCTGCCCCTGCAGAAATCTGCGCAAGAAATGGGTATGAATGCTACAGAAGCTGGTATGGCCGCTCTCCTGTCCCATCTATCGGCACTGTCATCCTCAGTCGCTTTGCACCGTTAGGCATTTGCAGAGTATGCTCTAATTGTAAGCACGTGCAAATACACATCCATGCACCCAATTCCTCTGGCCTCAGACATCCATCGTGCAAAATCCTATGGCACCCTCGGAAGACTGAGGTTTTGAGGCTCTCTTTATTTTTTCCTTTATCTATTTTCCACTGACTCAAGAGGATATCTCTCATGGGCCAACACCGAGGGCTTTGTGGATGACACGACTCCTAAACAGCATTGTCTAAGCATAGAGAGAAGATGTATCCAGACAGAAATATACTGACAAGCATACTTACAGCTAGTGTAAATCTATTTTCTTCAGAGAAGTAAAAATACACAGCATAGGTAAATTCTAGTAAATCTGTTCAGCCAAAATAGGAAACAAACAAACAAAACAAAACCCACAAACAAACAAGAAATCCCCAACAAACCAAAAAACCCTCCAAGCAAACCAAAACAAACTAAACCCCAAAACAATCCCAGCAAAATGCCTACTTTGGCTTCATTTACAAGTCACTGCACTGTTTATGCAGCAGCACAAACACAGCATCTGGAACACAGGCCCTCATACGCAGGTTGAAGCCTTCCATGCATTCAAGCCCACTGCTCTGCTGTTCCTCTTCCACCATATATGTGGTCAAGGACCAATTTCACAAGGTGCAAATAGTGAGCCTACCCTGAGACAACAATCTGCCAACTGCAGATCATTCGAGCTTAAAAAGTTTGATGGTGGCCTGCGCCATTCATGGGGTTCTGCTGTTCTGTGGTCCCAGGCATTATGAAATGCAACAGAGCGCATGGCAGCACCAAGGTGAGGGCACAGGTATCTGGAAGAAGTTAAACAGGGAAAGTAGATTTCAAATAGCATTTCTTCTGTCCTAAAGCCAGAAACACAAGCGGGGATTAAATACAAAAGAGGTTTCTTAAAGCAGCCATTCTACGGGGGGAAATTCCCGGGGACTTCATCTTTGCAGCTTCCGAAGAACAAAAACCTATGTGACCTTCTCTTTCCATCCGAGAAGATTAGGATAGACAAATCGTTGCTCACACCAATAATCACACCTCCACCACAAGGTGGATTCATTACCATTCATGCCTTTGAGAAACCAGGAAGAGTCACCTGTGCTCTCATAGTCAGGACTAACAAAACCAGCACCTACTGCCTGGGGGATGAAAACATCTCTGTGGGCCAGAGGGACAGCCTTGTTCAGGTAAGAAGAGGAAAGACCAACACAGTTAATGAGAAGTGTATCAGAACCAAAAAATTTCCAATGCACACAGCAGACCCATGCCCCGATATCCCTCTGTTCCTCAAACAGCACTCTTGCCAAACATCCCGCACTTACAGAGAACACTGAAGAGAAGCTGAAAGGTTACCATACCACTCCTAGGCTGCAGGACTTTGAGAAGCAACAAAGTATCAGAGAATACATCTCCTCTGAGGAACGCAAGCAGATGTAGGACCTAACGTCTGGGGATGAGCTGTCAGCACTTGACAGCATCCCTTTCCTTCGCAAGCTGTCTAACCAGATATAGATTTGCAGCACAATTTACTGTCTGTGGAAAAAACACTGCTAAAAATTCAAGGGAAGATATGCCCCTGCTGGCATGCTTCCCATGTGCCATTCATTTTGTCAAACACAGTGCAGGCATCTTCTGCCACGCCAGGTTCAAAATCAAAAACTGTACCTCCAGTGCAAGTCACTGGCAGGCCAACAAACCTGGAACAAAACAGGCACGACGCCATGGACCTATGACAGGAACTGCCCATTTAACATGGCTAGAAAGGGTCTCCAAGGCCAGTGAGTAACTCGAGCTTCTGTTTTACTCCCTTTCCTACCTCCTCCTCCATGCCAGACCAAAATACGCTGGTCAAGAATCCACGTATGTGTTTGTCTGACAGAAATTCTGCCTTTCCTGCCTCCAGTCTACAGTGACAAGGACAACACTGGCTAGCCCTCACAGTCCTCCTTGTGTACACAAGCCTCAGATCCCTGATTCTGAAAAGCAGTGGTGACCCTCAGTGTTCACCTGCAGCCACTCTGCACCAAGACACCTCAAGCTGCTCTTACAGTTTAAAGAAAAGAACACGGCACTATGAAATGAGACTCATGGCAGGTCCTTGATTAACCCACAACTGAAGAGCCACAGGCTCTTCCACGCACACCAGCATTGCTAGTGCAAGGCTTCAGAGTCTCTCACCAGAGAAGCGGTGCTGTCTGGGTTCAAATCTTCAAGGCTTAGTACCTTGAAATGGTGTTAAAACTAATAAATAAAATACACAAACGGAACATAAAGTACTGTCATAGCTACAAGTCGTAAGGGGGTGGTGGAAGAGAGAATACCAAATTGAAACCAAACTCCAGCACTTTGGGAACAGGAGTGTGCCTGAGAAGGACAGCGCCGCACGTGACAGCACTGCACCAACCCAGCAAAAGAAGGCTATGTGAAAGCAGTGGCTGGACTGCTACAGGAAAATCTACAGATGCCCAAGTTCCAATGGCACTGTAGTGCAAACCAGTCACTCGCATCAAGGAAAATGATCCTCAGTGACAAACAGTGAGTTCTCTGACATCCGTAGCGCATGGAAGTATAAACAAAGCCACGGTGACATGCAGACAAGGAAAAAAACAAAGGATAAAAGACGTGTCAGAGCTTGGGGACAACAAAGACTCCCAGACCGAAACAGATGTAGAGATTCCTGGTCAGCCAGCTGAACCAACAAGATTTTTTGGATTGATACATGCCCAGTCATATGAGGAATTGGCAGGAAAAACAGCCAAGAGTCCCTCCTGCTAGCACACACTAGCACTTTCAATTACAGCCCTTGGTAACTCTGGTCTTCCCCATCTGTACAAACATGCAAGAAACAGCCACCTATAAATTCTTTATCTGCAGCACACCAAACACGTTCTGGTCGTTGGAAATGGCACATGGCAGCAGTATCAGCAAATCAGGAAGGTTTATCCTTCCAAGAAACACATTTCACCCGTGTCATCAAGAGAACTGCTTTTTCAGTTGGCAGCATCCTGCATAAGGAAGTGCAACAGACACCACCACAGGAGATACCCTTAACAGAAGAGCAGAGCTAGAGAATCCAGTCAGGCCTGGGAAGCAGCTCTTCTGTGAGGTTTTTCCTCCCCTCTGTCACACCTCCTTAACTCAACAACCCACAGGAGAGCAGGAGGTTTCTCTCAAACCAGGCACGTTGGCAGGGCATGAGTGTTTCTCCAAAGAGCATTGTTATAAGGGAACTTCTGGGGATATTACAGATAAAATGTGTACAGGCCAGAAGACCGGACAAATGTTTCTCTAGAAAGACAGTCTCCTCCTGCATAGGGATTCTATTATCCCCTGCACATCTCTTGCTCTCTGCAAATACCTGCTGCAGAAATGCCCTGTTTGAATGGGGTGGATCATGTTTGCAGGAAGAAAGGAAATGCCAAATACAATCCAGAAAGATTCCCTCTACTAAAGGAAACCCACCTGTGACACATGTAAACTCTTGCTTCTTTCTGCCATGTGCCTTCAGGCTCCCCATCAGACTGCCTTTCACTACATTCTTTCCCTTATTCCTTGCCATCCATCCCCAGCACAGTGCTAGTCCTCGGCAGGAGAACCATGACAGCTCGAGACTGGATGCTCGGCAGGTCTGGAAGACAGCCTGGCAGCCCTTTGGCAACATCCCCACCACCCCGAAGAGTAAGGGATCTGCTCTTACAATAGCTGGTATGTGCATTCAGTACAGGACCTTCCCTGTTCAAGAACACAAATGTGGAAGGAGTGAGTCACAGGGTGGCTGCACAGGGTGGCAGAACCGACAGCACTGACCAGGTACTCTTGCAAGGGCTCAGGCCTCTACAAAAGTTTGTGCAGTGGTTAAAGCTTCCTCCTCCTTCTTAGAGACTTCTTCCTTCACCAACACAGCACAGAAAAACACGGGGTCCTCAGTGCTGTCTGAACCAGAGACTGTTCCAATGGCAAAGCCAGATAGAGGACCACAACTCTGACAGCTGACAGCTGTCCTCTGACAGCTCACGAACCAGGAACACATCACCCTGCAGCGCACCTCAGATTACAGCCTCTGCACCAAACACAAGCAATAATAGTGTTTAGATCATCAGTGACTGCATCATTCTCTGCCACTAGAAGAGCTGAGTGAGGCTACATCTCACACTTCTCGACACTGTAGCTAACCCAGTAGTTTCTTGATTTTAACTCTGAAGGTTGCCATTTGAGAGACCTGCCCCTGTTTCCGTGAGGCACCTAATGATGCCAAACACCTAAACACACGGACTCACTTCTGCAGTTCCTGGTACCCCCAGGGGGATTAGCATGCCACCGGGATTTTCTGGGCGAGCACAGTGGGGTGCAGCACGCAGAGAAGGCTAAGCCGAGGCAGCCAAACGGCCTAAGTCCCAGGCTTGCCACCTCCACTTCCCAAATGGCATAAAGCACTCGGGTGTCTTCCCTCAGCCAAGGCTGGAGAGAACTGGACTGCAAGTCACAGATACCATGGAGTGGGAAGACAAGAGACTAGAAAACAATCTCTGAGAAATCTTTCCAATGGGCTTCTCCATCCTTCAGTTCTCACCAGCTGATGTGTTGTCACTACCTTTGGGTTTGGATTTAGACTTGAAGGAGAAGCGTTTGATGAGGCGGTGAGAGAAGCTACCAGCTTTCTTTCTGGCAGTGGAGTTGGCAGTGACATTGGACAAGTCATCGTGCGACTGGCTCAGGCCCACTTCCTTCTGCTTGCTCCTTCTCCGGAAGATGAGCTTGGTACCGCTCCGAAGAAAACTAACTGTAGAGACAGGAAGGAGATGGAAACCACAATAACATCCTGTGCTGGCAAGTTTCAGGGACAATAACATATCCAGCCATTCTCAGATATGCAGCAGCCCTCTTCCGCAGTGAGTGGCAGAAATACACAGCACATTGGCTAATCCCAGCTTCCAAACGCAAGGCAGTGTCTCAGTTCATGACAGACTGCAATACCAACAAGCTGCCTCATTAAACATTCCGTCTCGTGACCCCTCTACGTAAACTTCCTTTTACACAATGTCCTCCCCTCAGTGGAAGCGTGCAGCATTTTAAATGAAAGCCAAGACTCATATGAATGGAAAACAAGCAAGATCAACAGAACCTGAAGACCCTGAGAGGAACATATGAGAGGGAAAAGGCCTCTCAGACCAGTCTTTCTCAAGGGCACGGGGATTAACTTTGTCATCCAGCGCCTGGAACAACTGCCCGTGTTTTCATGACGTGCCCAGTCTGGAGGCACATAATGCCAATGGCTCCTTATGACTCTCACAAGCAGAAGATGGAGATGCCAATTGCTTTCAACCTCAGAAAGACACATCCAAAACCTGCACACTGTATAACACTACAATGGTATTTCCTACAGAGGGGGTTTGCTCTCCATTTTCCCTCTCACTTCCCACCCACTAGCTCTCTCAAGAATCTGGGTTGCACACCATTCTACCCACCGACGTTCAAAAGCGGGGTCTCCACAGCTCAAATCATACCTAGCTGTGACAGGGTACAACTCCTCAGAATTTGTCCCACTCTAATATTCTGAGTAATCAAGATTTTGATTTGCATTTATTTTTGTAAGTCAGCAGCAGAGAAATCCAAGGTGCACCATCCACCTAACTGATAAATGTGTGGGAAGGCCAGGACAGGAGCTAGGTTGGGGCAGCCCACTCCATCATTTAAAAAAAGTGAGTTTGTGTGGACATCTTACAGTACGACAGGTCAGGGGTACTAGCTGCTTTGATAGTAGCAGAGAAGGAAGGAGGGCAATCAAGGCCCATACAATCCACACTGTTGGGCAGCCTCCACGTCCATGCCACAGGTGGCCAAATTCAGAGGATAAATCATTGTTTATGGACATGCACCTGATGTGGAGATCAGGGAGAGAAAAGGCGTTCTCTGCAATACACAGGCTGCACTGGGTTCCCATATAAGAGGGCACAGAAACTTAAAATGCTACAGGAATCAGACACCTACAAATGAAGGCATTTCAAGTCATTCCGGTGGAAAAAACACAAAAGAAAGGCAGGCTTTTCCAGACTCCATCATTTTGCTATGCCAAAAGGTAGCTGCAGACCCCATACTTGGGGGTGGAACCTGGATGTCACTTTGCCCTCGTGGTACAGCTAATGTTATGGGCTCATGTTAGCTACCCTACCTAACAGTTCATCCTTACCTTTGTGATCTTTCAAGCTCCTTGTCTCAAGGGCTCCCGTGGAGCCAGTTTCAGACTCAACATCTTCCACGGATGGTCTTTCAGAGATGTCTGATCGCGTTGTCTCATCCAGCTCCTGACTGTCCCTTTGTCCCAGTGGTGATGCTTCCAGTGGCTGCGACAATTCGGTAAAATCGTGCATCTGGTCAGCTGTGCCCTCTGCCTCAGAGTCCCCATACGCTGTGGCCTCCAGAGATGCAGCATAACCCAGAGAAAGTGCCATTTCGTCTTGAGCAACAGGTACCTAAAGGGGGGTTAGAGGGGCAGACAGACACGAAGACAGGATCAAAAGAATTGCATTCATCTCCCTACTTCCACCTACACCTACATACGCACATGGCCCAGTTCAGATTATCGGTGCTAGATGGCCCCGATGGACAACGGTCACTCTTTGGCTGAAATATACTGGACCGTGGCTTATTATAAAGTGTTCCGCTGCACGTCCCTCACTCCCACAGCCAAGTTCAAGGAGAACTCCTTATAGTCTCCACAAGGTTCAAAACCAGCTATGGCAGCCACATCTCTTTCTGCAGCTGCCCATTGTGAACTCCCACAGGCAGCTGCCCTGCAGACTGGCGAGGTACCTTTTAATGCTCACTGGGAAGCAGCAAAAGGCTTCTGATAAGCCAGTCATCTGTGCTGGAACCTTCCCACACTGGTCCCTACAGGACAGGTTAGTTTCACACACACGTCCCTAAAAACAACCTCCCAGACTGGAAATGCAGCTCCTAACTACCAGAGACCTTGGACACTCCTGAGATGATCAGTGTACTACGTTTTGTTGGTGTCTTCTTAGCAGTCTTGTTATTCGTCTCTGTTAGCTGCCTGATTGCTGTCTCGGCCACCGGATCCAACCCGTTGGGCATATGGCTATCCCCTGAGCACAAGAAAAATACCAATGCTTGGAGAAGCAACCTTCAGCAGAGGCAAAAGGTCGCTTTCTGACCGCAATGCCTGCAATAGGCAACTTACATGCACACGAACATAGCTTCCCCACCCAGAGTTTATGACAGACTTGTCCAAATAATCAAAATGAAGGAAGCTCTGTATAGCTAGCTCTTGGCTTTTTCAGGTACCTGACAAGTTTCATTTCCCACCAGGCATATAATTAAAATACACCCCTGCCCCCCTACCCCCCCCTCCCCAGCCCTCGCTCAATATAGACTTCCAATAGCTTGCTTTGGCAGCAAACTGTCAAAACATCTGCAGTGCTCTGTTCCAGACATGATCAGAGCCCCAAGTGCAGGGTGAGCAAAATTCTTTGGGTCCAGATAGCCTGCAAAGTTCTTGCTGAGCAAGGAAACACTCGTAGTCATTGACTGGACAGTCAAAGGGGAATGTCTTTTATCCCCAACATCACCACCACCAGCCTTCTACCCCCAACTTCACTCAGGCACTTGGACATTCTCTGAAGCAGAAGAGGCGAGTGAGTTCAGGGAGCTGCATTTAGACTGCCACTTTCTAAAACAGGCTAAGGAACACAGTTACTTCAGTAAGAGCCTCAAATTTCCAAGCACTTACGGCTACCGCTGGGCAAGTGGCCGTGAGGACAGCTGGTCTCCAAAAGCACTGTTGTCTTCTTTTCAGTCACTTCCACTTTGGAAGGCGACCTTGATGGTGAATCTTTACAGCAAAAGAGACACCGACATACTGGTAAGTGGAAGCAAAGCTTACACGACTATTCTATCATACTGTGCCCCCTACACACAACCCCACAAAACCTCAAGCGAACATTCAGAGAGCCTGCAAGGCAGCTCTGTAAGGCTTTGACGCAGCAAAGCAGTAAGAAGCCCACTGGGAAAAAATCGGAATCACAGAATGGTTTGGGTTAGAAGGGACCTTTAAGACCACTTAGTTTCAGCCAGACTGCCCTTTGAGCAGGTTGCTCCAAGCCCCATTCAGCCTGGTCCTGAACACTTCCAGGGATGGGGAAACTACAGCTTCCCTGGGCAACCTGTGCCAGTGCCTCAGCACCCCCAGAGGGAAAAACTTCCCAATGGCTAATATAAATCTACTCTCCTTCAGCTTAAAGCCATTCCCCCTTGCCTTATCACTGCATGCCCTTGTAAAAAAATCCCTCTTCAGCACTCCTGTAAGCCCCTTTTAGGTATTGGAAGGCTGCTTGCTATAATGCCTCCCCAGAGCCTTCTCTTTTCTTGCCTAAACAGCTCCAACTCTCTCAGCCTTTCTGCACAGGTTGGTGTTCCAGGTATGTGACCAACTTAGAGGTCCTCCTCTGGACTTACTCCAACAGGTCCATGTCTTTCATGTGTTGGGGGGCCAGTACTCAAGGCGAGTACTCAAGTACTCTCACAAGAGTGGAGCAGAGGGGGAGAATTGCCTCTCTCAACCCGCTGGCCACGCTTCTTTTGATGCAGCCCAGGACGGGGTTGCCTTGCTGGGCTGCAACCCTGTGAAGCAGGCGCACAGCAATACCTCATTCGTGTAATTTTCCAGCCCCACCTCTTGGAATATCCAGCACCACCAGGATGCCAGACCACAAGCAGCAACAACCCCTAGTAAGCCAGGTCAACATGCTTTTGGCTCCACATTCAGTATGTTCAACCTAACTTCTTTAGCAGTGAAGAAACTAGAGAAAGCATGGCTACACACTCAGCCTGACATCACGCAGAGGCTATGTGGTGGCATATGCATTAGACCTCCTACCACCAAAAGGGTGTGCGAGAGGCTCATCCCTCCCTCACCTCCCCCCAGATGCAGAGCTGCGTCAATTCTCCCCCCTTGGGCTACACAAGAGTTTCCAGGCAGCCACAAAGACTCTAGGGGAACAGCAAGGATGCCTGTGTTCCGACCCACGCGCCACAAGCAACACGTAAAGCGTGAACCTGCAATAACCGGATGCGACGGCTAAACGGTTTTGCTGCTGCCTTCATGAGCAGCCATGGGAGTATCGCAGCTAAGTCTGTCCTGCCACAGGAGCCACCTTACAATACACCTGCTGCTGCGCAGCCTCACCCAGTTTGCAGTCTGCCTTGGGCCGGGACTGAATTGTGGTGACAGTAGTCACAATGGTGCCATCAGGCATGATGGTCCGGTCCATCTCCACCTTCTTAGTGGGGGTGATGCTGGTTCGCAGAGATGGGGTGTGTGGAGCATTCAAAGATGCAGGAGACTCCTGGAACAGCAGCTATAAAGAGTAAAGCACTGCTCAGAGAGGCGCTCTTCTTCCCAGATGGAAAGGCAGGCATGTTTGGGCAACAAAAGCTAGGGCTCTGGGCACCACGGAGCCATCCCCAGTACAGTATCAGTTCAATAGCGGGAGGCTCAGGGACCAAGGGTCAGATGACATCCACCCCTCCATGGCATAAGGGTCTGCTAGTCCTCTGTGCCAAGCTCAGGTCCAAACATGCGTGTCTCCAGCTAGAGGCTCACGTTATGAATGCTTCCAGAGTGTGCATGTGTGCAGAGCTTGTGGGGTCATGAGCTCTGCATTACCTCCAATGTAATGGCAGCTTCAGCTGTCAGTGACTGTCCAGCTCCCGGGGCCAGTGAGCAGACCTGTCTCCCAGATGGTTGCTTGCCCAAAGAATCTATCAAAAGCGTGGCATATGCCAGCAGCACATCTGCAAGAAGGAAGAGTAAAAATGGAACACTTCGCATGACCTCAGCACTGTTGCCCTAAGAATTAAACCTTCTAATCTTGTTTTCATAGTTTCTAGCCACTTTCCCAGGAAAGTAACTATAAACATAGATGTTTATACATTCCATTAAAGAAATGTCTTTTGATTAGCGTTTCTCACAACCAGTGTAGTTAGGAAAGCGGTAACCTAACTATCCAATCCCTGGTCGTTGTCAAAAATCTATAACTACGGAAACCACAAAATAAATCACTCTCTTTTTTCTATCACACATTGAGCTGTGTCTGTGTGAATCACTCCGTGTCCAACAGCAACATAGCACCTCGCACATCTCCAAGGTAATCTCTGCTTTAGGGAAGCAGCCCTATGGGCCAACACAGCAGATCCCCACAACTCCGCTAACTCCCAAGTTCAAGAAGGAGAAGGGGCAGGCAGTGCTCCTCCACTCCTCTTTAACAATTCAGGTATCAACTCCCTTTAAAAGGGGACCACTGTGTGGCCTCCATCAAAAATAGATGCTGCAGTTAGTCCCCGACTGAGTACAAAAGTATAGTTAAGAGCCTTATGCAAAGCTCTCCTAACACAAGAGGCAAAATTCCGCATGCCTCTCCCTGCTTCAGAATGCAGACAGGCAGGCCACAGGAACCTCCTGATTCAAAGTCAGCCCCAGACCGTTTCGGTAAAAAGAGAACCCAGAGTTACTTCACCCAGTCACAGAAGCTCACATAAAGCTAAATATGAAAAATCCTTTGCAGAAGTCATCACATGTTGTACCGACAGAGAACTACCATGAGCTTAAAGCACAGTGAGTCCCTTAGGCATTTTTGCCTCCCCATCTTACAACCCAACTAATGGCTGCTCATACTCACTTCCCCCTCCGTCACTGTTCCCCAGCACCTGTAGTTTCAGTTCTTTGCTTCTAGGTCCCAACTCCCTGTTGAAACCAAAGACGGACTGGTATTAGGCACGCCTTTTTAAAATGGCCATGGAGCAAACAACTGCATTCTTTATCTTCCCTCCCTCAAATGTCACACGCCTCATCACTCTCTCCAAAGTTTCAGTAGCATGCACTACCATGGAGGACGTGACCAGAGCACCAAATAACACGAATGAGAACTACCCTGCAGAGCTGTGTAGGGCTGCCAGTGGAAGTTGAGAGGGCAATCCCTCTGGAAGGCTGTTTATGCTACAGCCCCACTGCACCTCCTGCACCTACAATCAGTGTTTCTGCCCATCCAGTTAAAACAGAGTGTTCAGTGAAGCGAGAAATACGTTTGTGAGCTGGGGCAAAATGCCAGAATCAGCAGTCCAACACAGGGGGATCACAAATGGACACTGTCCCGTGGTGCAGACTTCACCTCAGCAGCATGCACATCAATTACTGCAGCATGGCAATGTTACCCAGAGATTGTGCCGGTCCACCTATGCTCTGCCAGCCAGAAGGAGAGCAGACACTTACAGAAGGAACTCGTCATTCCATTCCATCTCTCCTGCAGCACCGACACTGCCACCTGCCATTGGCCTTGTCCACTTCTGCTGTGGGGGGCTGTCTAGCTCCGCCACACAGCGTATCTCCCCAGTTCCTGCAACAGAGAGACAGAGGGCACATGTGCACTCATCAACAAGAGGCAGTGTATCATCAGCCACATGGCCCTCTTTTCCATTCAAAAGCACCCAAAACATCCACTCACTCCAATCCTGCCACCTGCATGCTTGGCCCTGTGGGTCAGCAAGGGAGGTTTTCACACTTACCTCCCTTCCCCTGGCAGCCCAAGTTCAGCACTCGAAGATTCCGGAGCAACAGCTTAGAACCCAGAGGGGCTTCTGCTACTCCAGACAGGGACTCTCGAGTCAACTTATTACTGGGTACCTGAGGAATGACAAGAGCAAGACCGATACCTTTATCGTTCACTTGCCAGCAGACAGCAGCAAGACGGATCATCCTTGTATCTATTAAGTAGCTCCTCACACCAACACAGGGGAATACCCGCAAGCATCAAGGAATGCTTGCAGGTATCCAAAGCTACTGACCTCCAGTGGGCCCTCGTGTTATTTCAGATGAGAAGTTTAAGGCAGACAGAAAAGAAGACAGGGAAGAACAAGCTCGCTGGCTACCAGATCGTCAACTGATGATGACAAATCATGGGCCATTCCACACCTGCAAAGGCTGCCCTGGACAGAGCCTTGGTGATCAGAGCAAGGGCAACTGCCAATGGAGAGACGCACACCTCAGGCAGTCCAGCTCTGTAAGCACATGGCTGACAATGAGCATTCAGGAAAAGAAGTGGAAGGAGTTGCCCTTGGGAGCAATTTCTAGCTATCCCTATGAGTCATGTCACAGTACCCAAACTCCTATGACAGAGCAGGCCGAGATTCAGCTGTTGTCCAGAAGTGAAACTCAACCCTTGGTTTCCTCCCTGACCCTCAGCCCTCAGAAGTGTCTTGGGGGCCTGTGTTTGAGGCACAAGAATGACATGAGAAGAGTGACTTACTGCACTGGCTCCAGTTGTGCAGGCCATCAAATTCACCATCATGGCTGGCTTCGTGCTGACAATGGTATCCTCAATCAGATCCTTTATAGTGGACAGATCCGCTCTCCCTTCATCCTTCTCTCCGTAAATCAAGAGGAAATGCAGGAAAGTCATAAAAAAAAAGGACACCTTTACAGCTCCACCTGCCTCTCAAGTCTCTAATATGCTACACAGTCATTCTCCCAGTAATAACCTCCTAGATACTCTTCCCATATTCCATACCCATCCTCCTCGGTGCTTAAAGCTTCTGTGTAGCAGCTCAGGCAAACGCAAGCTTTCTAAATGTGACAAACTAAGCCTCTACTTCTGTACTTTATCTAGTGTAAATTTTTACAATACAGCTTTTATAGTCTGTCACATGCTCACTACCTCAGGAGATAGTGCCACCACACTTTTGGGAAAACAGCCGAATTCCTGTATCTACTCAGGATAAAGTAACAAAGGTGTCAATAAAACAACGAATCTACCAACCTATTTGGATCACGGATGTGCAAGCACATCCACATTCTGTTCAGTAAACCTCTAACCCAGGGATTCCCCACATTAATCTCTTAAATCTTAATTAATTGCTTCTAAAAAACCCAACCAAACTTAACCAACATAACCAAGCTAACACAACAACAAAAAGCAAACACCACCTCACACAAAAAAAGAGTGGCAGCTTGTTTTGCAGCTCTATGTCTGACAACGGCAGGAGGAACCTACATAGAAAGCCTTCAATAGATACTGGTACCACCTCAGTCCTCTTGAGGATGCTGTTTTGACACAGCTGAGCTAGTATGGATTCCAGGATGAAAGAATCCCCTCCACTGCCTTAAAGGGCCATGGCAGTGAGTTGCCAACCCTTGTCCTCCACAGCAACCTGCCTTCTAGCTGTTTCTGCTCCTTACTCCCTTCCTCCACTCACGGTCAGCCTCTCACTGTTGGCCACTCACCTCAGGAAGCTCAAGTCGCGGAAGAACCAAAAGGTCCAAGTCTGGTCTGTCTTTGAATGTCCATGACACTAGGAGACCCTCATTCTGTATCTCCTCCAAGTGGATCTCCACCTGGCCCAGAACAAATATCCACAGTTGGAAACAGTTTCTGTTTATACTAGGTGATTTTTGCCCCATTCCAAATTCAGCGACTGAAAGGCCCTCAAGCCAGTGCAACAGTAAAAACCAGAACATAAGAACACAAGTACTCCCAGACTGACAGGATGAAGCAGCTGCAGAAGCCTCAATGCTCTATAGTGATATCTGGCTTCCTCACTGCTGTTGGATGCCCAGGCACCACCAGAGAGAAAAATGATCTGTTATTTCTTTGACTGAAGAAAAAGCCTACAGTACAATCCAAAAGTGCCCAACTGGACACCAAGACATAGGATATTTACTGAGCTACATACATCAATTAGCTATTGTCAAATGTAAGCACAACTATTTATAAGTTAGCAATGCATCTCTAGGAGATAATCCTCAGGCTGAAGACCCATTCGGGTCACCATTAGGCTGCAACAACAAACCAGACTGTACACCATCCTGTAGTTTAGGTGAAGTTAAAAAGTTGCACGCCCATGTGTCCATAAAAGCATCATTAAAAATAATGCATAAATAAATAAGAAATAAATAAAATTAATGCATAAAATAAAAGCATCATAAAAGCATGTGACAGACAGAGGCAGAGCCACACAGGAACTGAACCGAATTGACCGTAGAGCACTACTAAAACCTGGGTAAGGAAATTCAACATAGTTCTCAATTGCCAGGTTGACATTTACCAACAACACAGAAGGTCATCGGACAAAAGCAACAGATATGAGACACAGCGGTCATGTAAGAAACCAAAAGGAGGTGTGCAGAATAGACAGGGCACAATTGGGAACACAGTACTTGAAGTATTCCAGAACACAGGCAGGCATGCGGTAATCTATCCAGCATTTCATAAAGCAGCGGCAGCAAGACCTCAATTAGAATACCACACGCAACTCCTTAAATGAACAATCAACCCAAAACTTCACCAGGCGCAGACAAGGAGACCTAGAAAATGCCAGTAAGTAGAGGAGCAATCGGACGAGATGTGAAAAAGGGGACCTCTCAGAGATGAAAAGCAACTGCAGTTGCCCAGAACTAGATTGGCAGCAGGCACACTACATGCTAAAGAGAGAGGAGGTCTCTGGAGCTCTGGATCTCTGGAGGAGATGACTACAGAACAGAGGTACAAAATCAAACTAGAATGACCTGATAAAAGTAGGCTGAAAATTTTCATAAAGCTTCTGAGAGCAAAAGAGTTCCAGAAGAAGCTTCAAACTGCCTGCAACAGCATGGGATTGGTTTCTGCTACCGCTGAGTTACTTCTAATTTTGCCGTGTCTATTTTTTCAATTTTTTTTTTTTTTTTGGTGCATATATGAGCACACTGCCTCCAAGCAAAGTATCATCTCCAGTGTTACGTCCTTCATCATGATGGAAACAAAACCACATTCCAGAGAATCAAATCCAGCCGGAAAGTAACTATGGAGTTACCACCCATTGTGATTTCAGAGCTTTTTTGCTGGGAGAAGCATCTCTGATATTCAATGCCCAGAAAAAGCTGTGTTGTGCTCCGGTGAATGTAATGAGGGGAACTGACAAGCCCATAGATTTCTTTTTCACACCCACTACCAGGACACCACACTTTCATATATCCACAGGACATACCTTTCCCCTTCCATTATGCCACAAGAGGAATTGAATTCTCTGGACTTCCCACTTCTTAAATACCCCCTTCAAAGCCAGTATAGAATGCTGCCATGTCTCAAAACTCTCTAGGATTTCTTACAGCTATGTTTCATAGCCAAAATCCGCAGATGAAGACTCTGAAGACAAGACTCGGCACGCAGATGGGGAATATTTGCCACCTCACCAAATGTTAGTGACTGCACACTGCTTCTTCCAGCCCAGCAAGGCCTTTATTTGTACTGAATCAGGTCCTCCTTCCTGAATCAGTGTGGGACTAGGTGGAGGAGTAAGGTCAATGTCTAACTTCTTATAACCTTTACCTGAGCCTGCAGCACAGCCAAAGTGACATGATACGTGTCCACAGAAACAGCAACTGGGGACTGCTGAGTAACAGAGACAGGGAATTTCACAGCTTCAGCTGACAGATGGCAGCACAGCACCTAAAAAGAAAAGATGAATTTACATCCTGGCAAGAGGCAGCTATGTTATTCTCACCAAGTTCCACAATGCAAACCTGACACTTTCAGACCCTGTGCTGTGACAAGAGCTCTCTTCTGCTCTCCACAGCAGGACTCTGTTTGGGTTTGGCATTCATACACCCTGGCTCCACCAACGCAACTTCCCTCACAGAGCTCACCGATGTGCACCTCCAGAGCCTCCAAACAGGAGACAGGCTTCCAAACTCCTTCAAACAGACCTCACCCAAAACCTGCTTGGCTCCACCACCTCCATCACGAAAGCCTCAGCAGCCTCTGTAGAACACACCACCAATGGAGAAACGCCACACTGTACATTCAGAACAGCAAAGCCTTACCATGCTGTGGTCCAACTGTCCCTTGCATGTCACACAACTTATATTTGTGGCTTGTGGTAACTGAGGACCCTCTTCAAATATGATCTGCACTGAACTCTGCAAAGAGAAAACTCTGTTAGTTCCCAGAGCCACCCAATGTCAGGTTCCACAGACACTCCAGTCTATTTTCACAAACCAGCACCCAGAACTATCGCACACTGTAATTCTACCCACCTCAGCTTGTCCATACAGAGAACGGAAACAAGGTGTCCAGTTAAAGCTTGAATTCACAAGCAGATATAAGCACCTCCCAGAAAAGCCAAATCTCACCCAGAATCTCACATAAGACAAAGTCCTCCTGGACAACTTCCAGACCTCGCTTCAGAAAACAGCTTTTAGACCCAGCAACTCACTGAGGCAGTGCTGCTTTCTGAGCAGACATGCCCCAGACAAGGAGCAGCTGCAGCAGAAACTGAAGTGTGGCCCTCCAGGGGCCTCCATGCCAATTCAGCCACCAGCTAATCTTCCCTTTACAGGAGTCCTAAATTCTGGAACTTACACATTCTGGTCATTTTGTGAGAATCTCAGTAATTCAACACATGGCAGAAAAGTATGGCGTATCACATTTGGGAAACTGGCAGCACTTTGACATGATGACTATTGCATTGTGATAAGAGGGGCATGGAAGCAGAGGGCGAGTTTCTACAGGGGAATTGGGGAAGCACTAAGCCCAATGGCAGAAGACACTTCACACTGAATCCAGTCTAGAGTTTGCCACTGTGAAAAAGGGAGATGCTTTTCCTATCTTGCTGGAAAACTCAAACACAAGTTTGCATCATATTCTTCAAGACTTTAATTGCTTTGTCTTCAAATATGTTAGCTTCATGCTAACCTTTTTTAGCTCTTGATTTTCCTATACAACCTAACAGAAAGGTAACCCCTTCCCACTCACACGACAGAAAAAAAACCGAGATCACAATAGACCTCGGACTGTTTTGGACCACTGTTTCTGTGGGCATTAAGTCCCTGCCTTGCAGGTAACACAAGCTATAATGCAATTATTTCCACATGGAATCATCAAGGCATACTGTCCTTCGTGAACTTCAAAACTACAGCTAATACAATGGCAATACTGGGAGATTAAAGAAAATAAATATCAGAACATTTCGAAGAGCTTGCTGTGAAACATCAGAGTGACTACAGTGTTGCCCCAACCCGCATTAAACGACGCGTGGTAACCCGCTCCGCTCCCTCCGCGCTCGCGCACCGCAGCGCACTCCCGCGCAGGCCGCGCTGAGCCGTCCGCACGGCTCCTGCTGTCTAAGGGCTCCTCCGGCCGGAGCGCCCTGCGGGGAAGGGCTGTCCCGACCCCGCGAACGAAGAGCAGGCAGGTGGGCCCGCCTCAGCTCGCTGCCGCTCCCCGCGCGCCCCAGCTCGTGCCCTGCCGTACCCCGTGCCGGCGCGCCTGGCTGTTGAGAGCTCGCACCCAAGCTCGCTGCCACTGCTGCCGTAGAGACCTGAGGGCGAGAAGCGCCGCGAGCAGCGCCCGGGCTCCGGCCTCCTCCGCCGCCGGTCCGCGACGCCGTAGCGCTCGCAGGGCCGTAGAACGCCAGTACTGCAGCAGCCAGGCCGCCACGGTGAGCAGCGAGGCGGCGAAGAGCAGCACCAGCGCGGCCCAGCCCAGGTCCGGCCCCATGGCACGGCGCGCGGGGCTCACGGCGGCGCGGCGGGCATGGCGGGCGGGCTGCGGCGCTGCCCCGCTGGCAACACCGGGTGCACGTGGCCCCGCCGCAGCCCCGCGGCACCGCACGCGCACCCGTCGCCGCCGCCTCTTTCCTTCCGGCGCGGCGGAGCACGCGCGCCTCCCGCGGCCCGGCGGAACCGCCCAAGCCGCTCCGCGCCGTGCCTGCGGGAGGGCTGTGGTACCCGGTCTGAACGGCAGGGGAACCTCACGGCTGCTGCCGGAGCCTTCTCTTCTGGGGGGCTGAAATAGCAAAAGAGCCGCGATTTGAAAACCCAGCTCCCCACCGAGCTTTCCCGAGCTCCGATTAACGACGCTTTTCTCCTCACATCACGCTCTTTTCTGCCGGGAGTCATTGCCCTGTTCCCAGCAGGCACGCAGGACACACCAGCAAGGCGGAACCTTTCCGTTCGTCTGCTCCCGATTGCGCCACTCTCAAGCAACACGAATTTTGATCACCTCCCGACAGTCACAAACCAAAGTAGCAGCGGCCTCTGGCCAGACATGCTCCCCTGCACCTCTGTGCTGTGCTTTCCTCCCCGGCAGTACCATGTGCCTGCCTCAAAGTTTATTTAAAGTTTACAAGATCGCTTTTGCATACGTTCAACTGACAGCAGAGCAGAGTAGGCCTCTCAACACAGCAGCAGCTCCCCAGGCGGCCAAAAAGCCATCAGAAAAATCAGATAAAGCCATCAAAACCTATTTCAGGTTGCCATACAGGTTCAGGGCACGTAAAAGTTCTTGCTGCTACCTAACTTCCTGCTCCGTCTCCCTTCTGCTCATCGACTCACACCTTTGTGAACATAACAGTGAATAAACATTGAGCCTATCCTGCCTTCCCCTCCCCACCGCCCAAAAAATGCCCCGAGGGCCCAACAGCAGTTACAGATTCCCTGACAATCAAAAATCTCCAGTAAGGTATTTTACTGAATTTTGCCGACATCTGAGGAAGCACGTGGGGAAACGAACCCGACGGCCGCTCGCTTTTCCGCTCGCGCATTCTGCACTTCGGCAACATGCCTCGCCGCCCCGCCGGCCGGCGGTGACCGCGCTGGCCGCGGCTCGCCCGCGGCCACACACAAGCGCCGCTCCCCAGAGCCAGGCAAAAAAGCTGTTCCGGCTGGGAGCCGTCGGTCATTCAGCACCGCCCGGTCCCACCCGCCCGCCCTCCGCTGCGGTTCATCCGCTCCCCGCGTGAGAGGAAGTGACGTACCTCTAAAACGAGCGGGGAAAGGGGGGACTAAGGTGGCCATGGCGGTTGCGGGCACTGCGGGGCGGAGTCCGTGGCGGGGCTGTCCCTGGGCGAGTGCTGCTCCCGGCGCAGTTTCGGAGGAGCGCCGCGGAGGAGGAGGAGCGCCGCGGACCTTAGCGCCGGCGACAGGCGCCTCCACACGGCCCTTTACGCGGCTGAAACCGCTACCGATCCTGGCGGTCGTGCGAGCAGAGCTCCGTGCCTGCGGGAATCTCATGCCAGTGCTAAAGATGGCGCCCCCGATACGCCGCGGGGGCCCCGCGCATCCGGCGCCGTCCGAGTAGCGCCCGGCCGGGAAGGGCAGCGCCCCCGTCCGGCCTCGCTCCGCGCCCTTGGCAGGGGCAGCGCCCGCCGTGGCCATGGCGGCCTGGCCTGCCGTGCCCCTCCTCATCAACCTCGGCGGGTCGCTGCTGGGCTTTGCGGCCACGCTCACGCTGATCCCGGCCTTCACACAACACTTCCTCGCCGCGCGGCTCTTCGGGGAAGACCTCAACAAGACCTCAAGGCGGCCCGTGTGAGTAGCGCTGCCCCCCGGTGCTGCCCCGCGGGGCCGGCCCGGGCAAGGCTGACTGCCCCCGCTCTACCTTCCAGCCCCGAAGCACAGGGCGTGATCAGCGGTGCCGTGTTCCTGATCATCCTCTTCTGTTTCATCCCCGTGCCCTTCCTGAGATGTTTTGTGGAGGAGCAGTGCGCGGCCTTTCCTCACGATGAGGTGAGGCTCGTCTGGTGCTGCAAGCGTGGCAGGCAGGGGCAGGGAGTGGCCACCGGTGACCGGGGTCCTGTTCTCTGTCCTGCAGTTCGTGGAGCTCATCGGTTCGCTCCTTGCCATCTGCTGCATGATTTTCCTGGGCTTTGCAGATGATGTTCTGAACCTGCGCTGGCGCCACAAGTTGCTTCTTCCTACCATGGCTTCTCTCCCACTGCTCATGGTTTACTTCACCAACTTTGGGAACACGACCATTGTGGTGCCTAAGCCCTTCCGGCTGCTGCTGGGCATGCATTTGGACCTGGGTAAGTTATGAATCAACAGAAACAGTCATCCACAAGGAGTCAGTGGAAGGGATCACATGAAGCACTTTGTGCTGCAGAGGGAGCGGACTAAGGATTTGCTTAAGTAACCAGTAAGAGAATGGCACTCCACCCACTAAACATTAGGCCGGAAAGAAACCCAGCATACATTCAGCTGTGCATAGACAGGCACCAATCATTTTCCCATGAACCTGGCAATACAGGTGAGTACTGGGGCACACAGCACATGGCTGACAACACCGGGAAGTTAGAAAGACAGAAAGGGCACTACAGCTGGCTGCCATGTCACAGCAGTTTGCCGCAGTCACAGTGCTGTACATACACGTACACTTGATGGCTAACTCTTAAGAGAGGAAGCAGTCTACTATGTGAGAGAGGAAGCTACCACTCTCAAAACTCACTGAGATTGTTAGGTAATAGGTTGTTGTATAAAGCAGGAAGCGCGCACTTCAGTGAATTGGTCTAGGGCCTGCTTTGCCTCCAAATACTATATCATTTGGCTTGCTCTGATCTGCAGGTATCCTCTACTACGTGTACATGGGTATGCTAGCAGTGTTCTGCACTAATGCCATCAACATACTCGCTGGAATTAATGGAATTGAAGCAGGACAGTCACTGGTGATAGCTGCTTCCATTATCATATTCAATATTGTAGAGCTAAACGGTAAGGAAAATAACAAACATTTGTGGGCACAAAAAGCAAAGGGAGATTGAATTCTAGTTTTCAGTAGCTGTTATTACTAAAAATGAACCATCTTGTTGAATCACAAACACATGTTTTTCTTTTTTCTATAGGGGATTATCAAGATGATCATATTTTTTCTCTCTACTTCATGATTCCCTTTTTTTTTACCACGCTGGGCCTATTTTACCACAACTGGTAAGAGGATAGACATTCAGAATTTGTTTGGAAGCATCCTTTCCCTCTAGTTTCTCCCTTTTTCAACAAACAAAACCACTTAACAATGTGCAGGTGGAACACTGGAGCGTAGAGAGGCTTCTTGCCAGAACCAAGAATACAAAGCATCAATGGAGCTGTAGCTTTTCTTTGTATTAGAACAATTGCAGTCACACCAGTTCACCCAAACACACAGGATACGCTCTCTGCTGTGCCTCACTGGCTGTCTTTTCATACCATATTCTCCACAAGTCAGATGGTGGGTGCCAGTCCTGCAGTTCTTAGAATAAATACCTACAATTGTTTTTACTGTGTAGATCTGCTGCAGATACCCATTGACCTCTAACCTGCAATGTGGGCATACACTCAGTAGTTATAAACAGTCATTTTCGTGGCAACGGCAGTCATGTCAGACCTTTGCTTTTCTGCTCCATGGATTGCAGGTACCCATCTCGAGTATTTGTTGGGGACACCTTCTGCTACTTTGCTGGCATGACCTTTGCTGTGGTGGGGATCTTGGGACACTTCAGCAAAACAATGCTGCTTTTTTTCATCCCACAAGTACTCAACTTCCTCTATTCACTGCCTCAACTCTTCCACACCATTCCTTGTCCCCGTCACCGGCTACCGAGGTAATGTACCCAGTGACCTATAGAGGTACTACAGGTTATGTCTTTTACCTCCAACACCAGCTGAGAAAGGTGGTGGAAAGTGCTCTTTTTAAAAGCCATCAAAATATGTTTTCTCTTTAAAAGACAGCAGCTCACTCTGTCAGCTACAGTCAGATTATACAGTAGAGGTTTCTCAAAGAAGTGAACATTTCTGACCAGTCCACCCCTCAGATACAGAATGATTTTTAACATCATGATTCTGACCTACAAGATCGAGAGAAATTGACACAGGCTTCTTTTAATGCTGCGGCAGTGGGATCTGCTAAGATTTCATAGTAGCAAGCATTTTGTAGCACTGTGCCACATCAGCAATTATCTCCGCAGATGTTAGATACTTCTATTTTATTCTTTAAACTACATAGCATATATTGGGGCTACAGTGGAAAGGAGTCTTCTCTGCCCCACTTGAGGAGCTAGATACCAGCAGCTGTTGTTAAGTACATCAAGTTATTCCTGTTTCTTCCACCACTGGATTTCTTTCTCAGCTGTGATTCTAAGTCTGCTCACAAAGTGATCTATCTCTTTTTTTTTTATTATTTTAAATGTTTCTTTTAGGCTTAATCCTGATACAGGGAAGTTGGAGATGAGCTACTCCAAATTCAAAACTAAAAGCCTCTCTGCCCTGGGAACAAACATTCTGAAGGTAATATGTGGAAAACATTCAAAATTCAGATGCATTTTGAGGCAGTCATCAAGTGCAACAGAAACAGGATGGGAGAAAATGCAGAACTTTTGGATTCAGTAGTTATTGACTGGCTCAGATCTGGAAGAAAGGCTGTTACCATCCCTCACAGTCACTCTATTGTGTTAATAATTGTTCTTTCAGAATAATCACACACAGAAGTGCCCCAGGACCATCATATCCCTGTCATGTCTTTTCAGAAAGAGCATAACCAGGATTTCAGGGCTGGTACAGCAAACGGTTCTTGAGCAAGACTAGCTAGTGAACACCAAACATACCTGGTAAAATAGTGTGCAATATTTCTTTCCTCAGGTAGTCAAGATCTTGCACTTAGTAGATGTGAGGAGTGGAACAGATGAAGATGGTGAATACACGGAATGCAGTAATATGACACTTATTAATTTTGTCATAAAGCTGATCGGACCCACCCACGAGCGAAATCTCACTCTCCTGTTGCTACTCA